TTTTTCCCTGTGCCCTGCAAATTATATGGCCTGTGCTGGTTCAAATATGGGGGTGAGTGAGGTAGGCAGGGGACAAGAGCTTTGGGGGAGTTGCTGGACCTGAGAGTTTGGGTGTGGAATAATCAGAGAATTGAAGTTATCAGAAATTTAGACAGGGACAGCACTGTGGTGCAGTGGGTTAAAGCCCCGTTCTACAGTGCAGGCATCCCATATGGACACTAGTTCAAGTCCCAGCTGCTCCACTTCCTATCCAGCTCTCTGCTATGGCCTGGAAAAGTACTAGAAGATGATACAAGTCCTTGGGCCCCTGCACTTGCTTGGGAGACCCGGAAGAAGCTCCTGGTTCCTGGCTTCGGATCAGCCTAGTTCTGGCCATTGTGGTAATTTGGGGTGTGAACCAACAGATGGAAGACCTTTCTGGCTCTACCTCTCTCTGTAACTCAAAACCAATATTAAAGAGTGTGACAGTGAGCTGGGGTCTAAAACCTAGAGAAATGCCTCACGATAACCCGGGGGTCAGGAGTTGTTATGTGGAGGAGTGGCGGGTGATATAATCCAGTGATATAATCAGCCAGGCTTCAGCTGTTGTGGCCATTTGGGGAGTGAACCAGCAGATAGAAGACCTCTATCTCTCTCTGCCTCTGCCTCTCTGTAACTCTGCCTTATAAATAGAAAGAGAAAGCAGTGTCCTGAGGCAGTGACAGGGCAGGTGTCCTTGAGAGCAAGAAGGTGACAGAAATGGTTAAAGAAAGGTGAAATAGGTGGGGGATTTTGAAGATGGTGAGCCTTGGGTTCCAGAAAGCACAGTGGAGGAATTTAGCCTTGGGCATAAAGGTGACACAGAGGCTGCACAGAGCCTTGTGGGATTAAAATGCAGGATAAGGGTGATGTGCAAGACAGGGCTCTTAAAACCACTGACAAGCAAGGATGCCGAGATTCGCTGGGGGAATGCACAGAAGAGAGCCTGAGCGTGCGGGGAGGTGGAGAGGGGCCGGTGATGGGGGCAGAAGCATGGTCTTTTCAGAAATCTTCAATATCAGCCCATACTGGAAAAATAGCTTTTTCTTTAAAAAGTTTCATAAAAGGTATTTATAAAATAAGTAGAATGGGAATCATTAAAAATAAGTTTGTATGCTTAGCCACTAATATTATAATTGCATGTCTCAGTCTGTTCCCTGTTCCTTTAGCAAAATGGCGTAGGCTGGATACCTTACCAATAATAAAAGTTCATTTCCCACAGTTCTGGAGACTGGGGAGGCCAAGATGCACGGGGCCGCAGGGTCGGCATCTGGTTCCAAGGAGGTGCCTTGTGTCTCAGTCCTCCCCTGACAGCGTGGATGAAGGGACAGGAGGCTCCCTTAACCCCATTCCACAGAGGAGACTTAATCAGGTCCCAGAAGGCCCCACCCCCTAATATTGCCATAGTGGGGGTTAAGCTTCACCATGGACCTTGAAGAAACACAAACATTCCAACCATAGTATCATGGGAAATGGGTACGACCTCACCGCTCCATTATCTCTTAGGGTGTTTCGCCATGAACGTTCCAAAACACACCTAGGCACTGTAAGCTCAATAAATCAATTTCTTGTAAAATCTTGTTATAATGGGGCTTGTGACTTTTTTATATTTTTTGAAAAATAGACCATTTTTGAGAAATACTATCATTTTAGCCTGAAGTATGTGGCTTTTAGGCTAATTAACATAGACCTCCATGTGTCTTATTCTTCCATGGCCCTCTCCTGAGGCTTTTCCTGGGCTGATAATTCAACAATGTAATTAAATTAAATTCATTTACTTGAGGATTTAACATAGGTTCTGTGATCCTCAGGTTTCAAAAACAAACCATAGCTGGCGCCGCGGCTCACTAGGCTAATCCTCCCCCTTGCGGTGCCGGCACACCGGGTTCTAGTCCCGGTCAGGGCGCCGGATTCTGTCCTGGTTGCCCCTCTTCCAGGCCAGCTCTCTGCTGTGGCCCGGGAGTGCAGTGGAGGATGGCCCAAGTGCTTGGGCCCTGCACCCCATGGGAGACCAGGAGAAGTAGCTGGCTCCTGCCATCGGATCAGCGCGGTGCACCAGCCGTGGCGGCCATTGGAGGGTGAACCAACGGCAAAGGAAGACCTTTCTCTCTGTCTCTCTCTCTCACTGTCCACTCTGTCTGTCAATAAATAAATAAATAAAAATAAATAAATAAATAAAAAACCAGCCAAGCAACCTATGTAATGGAGGAAATGCAGCATGTGGACCTTGTTTGCATTTGAATTTGAATACCTTGTGAAAAGCCATTTTAGGGATCTCTTCCCAAGCTGGAGTCCTTTAACTGTCTTATGTGCACAAAGACACCTATAAAGCATTTTTGCTGCTTGCCATTTGCTTTGAGGAAATTGATTGGCTTATCCTGGCTTTAAGAAACCCCACAAGGGGCCAGAGCCGTGGCTCACTAGGTTAATCCTCCGCCTGTAGCACCAGCACCCAATATGGGCTCCGGGTTCTAGTCCCAGTTGCTCCTCTTTCAGTCCAGCTCTCTGCTGTGGCCTGGGAAGGCAGTGGAGGATGGCCCAAGTGCTTGGGCCCCTGAACTCACATGGGAGACCAGGAAGAAGCACCTGGCTCCTGGCTTCAGACTGGCATAGTGCTGGCCATAGCAGCCATTTGGGGAATGAACCAACAGAAGGAAGACTTTTCTCTCTGTGTCTCTCTCTCTCACTGTCTGTAACTCTACCTGTCAAATTAAAAAAAAAAAAAAAAAAACCACAAAGGATTGAAATTTAAAGTCAGTTGCCAACATCTCCAAATAATTAGTGATGAATTCTCCTAAATGGTGGTGGCTGTATCCTAAAGCTGAAAGTAGCTCCCTGGCTCACTTATTAATCTTTTCACTCTTTAACATAGATGCGAGGAGGGAAAAGACTCACCCTATAGTGTGAATCTCATGTCAATGTCTTTAGTTTCGTCTTTTTACATTGTAATGTCGTACCTGAGCGAGCACCACACACTGATAAAATTTGATGGTCCTTATTGCCGGCGGTGGAGAGTGGGCTCATGCCCTATAGAACTCTGGACCCTGAAGCCCAAAGCAACAGGGTTTATAAAGGCAAAAACCAGAAAATCAGGAGGGGAATACATGATTGCTAGGATTGGGGGGAGTACATGGTTACTGGGGTCAAGCTGACCTAAAACCTATGAGAAACTAGTGTCAATTATAATCTTGACAATACCAGTTACAATCTTAACAATTTCAATTATAATCTTGACATTAATCCAGGTATTGGTTTTAATCATATGTAAGACATAGACAAATTACATTTTTATTATTAACCCAGGTGCAGCCTATCCACTTCCAAGCTTAAGCGATCATGCTAGGGGGTTTCTATGCTCTGCCAAGTGTGATGTAGTGGACTGCTCTTGTTCAACTGTTTTAGATCATAGTTTCAGACCAGAGTCTCACGGTGTTGGGGGGCACCTTCCCAGAATGGAGTCTCAAGTGCTCCAAAATGGAGTCCCTACTGTCAAGGTGTTACTTCAGTAATATTTCTGTGAAATCAGAACCTGTACAGGAGTCCATGGAGATGTTTAATGCATAATTTTTCTCCTGGAAGAGCTTTATTAATTAATAAATTAATAACGTCTCTTACCATAGATGACATCTTGGAGTTAAAGAATTATAGTAGTTTATGCTATTTCTTTTTTTTTTTTTAAAGAATTATTTATTTGATCGCTTCTCGGCCTTTTAGCTAAGATCAAGTGTAAGAATTATTTATTTGAAAGTCAGAGTTACACAGACAGAGAAGGAGTGGCAGAGAGAGAGAGAGAGAGAGAGAAAGAGAGAGAGAGATGTCTTCCATCTGCTAGAGGCAGAGAGAGAAGTCTTCCATCTGATTGGTTCACTCCCCAAATGGCTGCAACAGCCGGAGCTGTGACGATCAGAAGCCAGGAGCTAAGAGCTTCCTCTGGGTCTCCCACACACATACAGGGGCCCAAGGACTTAGACCATCTTCCACTGCTTTCCCACATGCATTAGCAGAAAGCTGGATCAGAAGTGGAGCAGCCAGGACTCGAACCGGCACCCATATGGGATGCCAGCACTGCAAGTAGCAGCTTAACCCACTACGCCACAGCACCAGCCCGTTTATACTATTTCTTGCTTTAAGTTGCGAGATTGGGTCTATTATCTAATGTATGATTGGATTATTTAGCCAATGGCTGCTTTTCTAATGAGGAATGAGTGTACAGTAAATCAGTTCATCAGCCTAAACTCCCAATATTCTCTCCATGAACAGCACTATCTCTAATGAACCAGTGACAAGACATTCAATGAGCAGCATGACTCACTCATGTTCTGCATGTTCAATCAACTTCTATCTTAGTGAAAATAACAGAGAGAAGTACCAAGACCGTGGGAGGTGTAAAATCTCTCTTCTTATCCTCTTTGCTAGCATCCAGACCTCCATATCAGAATAAGGGTCCCCATTTCTTTATTTTTTTTTTATTATTTTTTTGACAGGCAGAGTGGACAGTGAGAGAGAGAGACAGAGAGAAAGGTCTTCCTTTGCCGTTGGTTCACCCTCCAATGGCCGCTGTGGCCATGCGCCGGGCGCACGGCGCTGATTTGAAGGCAGGAGCCAGGTGCTTCTCCTGGTCTCCCATGGGGTGCAGGGCCCAAGCACTTGGGCCATCCTCCACTGCACTCTCGGGCCACAGCAGAGAGCTGGCCTGGAAGAGGGGCAACCGGGACAGAATCTGGCGCCCTGACCAGGACTAGAACCTGGTGTGCTGGCGCTGCAGGTGGAGAATTAGCCTAGTGAGCCGCAGCGTCGGCCTGAGGGTCCCCATTTCAAAATCTAGCTCATTAAAACTCCCACGGATAGAAGGGCCTGAAGATGGTCACTTTTCGTTTTTGGAATCCAAGATTGACAGAGGCAGTGAGTAGACAACACAGTAGGACAAGTTACCTGGATTTTGATATAAGAACATTGTGATTCACACAGTCTTATTTTCACAGGTTTAAAAACTTTGTCTACACATACAGAATCTTCAGAGAGAAACATGGGTATTACAAGATAAAGGTAAGAACTATAAGGACTCCTGCAACAGCTAAAAGGTGGGAGAGAAGAATCTGAGATCGTCTCCTGAACCTAGAAAGTGACCACATACAGACATAGTAAAAGGGAAGTGCCATGTAGCACCAAGACTCAGAACAAGGGTTAAGCTTGTCTTTCTATGAGACAGAAGATTACTGGAATTACGGCCGCTTTTACCCTGGCTATTACTCAAACGTGTAGAGGCACACAACTCTGGCTCCTCCAGCAGCCAGATGCACTCACCCGGACTCCATGCGAAACCATTATTGAATTTGGAAGCTAAACAATGAAGCAGGATAGGAAGGGAAGGTGGGGACAGTCTGAAGGTTTTGGAAATCAAGTGTATTCCAGTTATACAGAAATATAAAGGAGATCATCAAACAACCGGCAGGATTTGATTCATTTTTCTACCGGAAGCTAAGCAGAAAAATCTTTTTGTTTCTTTTGAATTTAGTTATCTGGTTTAAGAAGTAAAATATAATAAATGTAAACATTTTAAATTACTTATAGAAAATACTAAAATAATCTTTCTGAAACACTTCCATAAGAAGTTCATTAGATTTTTTTACAAGATTTCTCTGAGGTTTCAATATGCTGATGGGCATTGTGAATATTTGCAAGCAACCAGAATGAACAAGGCTACCCAGACAACGTATTTGCATCTATAATGTTTCTTTTTCCATATCTCTGGGGGATATTATTGAAACAATCAGCAAAATTCTGAAATGATCAGCAAACACAGGTTGAGCATCTCCCAAACCTGAAAATCTAAAATCTGAAATGTTCTGAGATCTAAAATGTTTTGAGCATGGCTATAAAACAATTGGAGAAGTTTCCAATTTGTTTCACCCATAGAATTATTTAAAACGTTATATAAAGTTACCTTCAGGCTATGTGCATAAGAAACATAAATAAACTCTGTTCAGACTTGGGCCTCATCCACAAGATGAGGTATTCCAAAATCCCAGTGCATCTCACATCTGAAACACTTCTGGTCCCGAGCATTTTGAATTGAGGATACTGAACCTGGGGTACTGCAGCAAGGCTGATTCCTGGTTTGAACCACTGCAGTAGGGTTATAGAACGTTCTTACATTTTTTTGGAAATACTAAAGTATTTAGGGTGAAAGGGATATTTTTCCTGCAATTTAAAACTCAAGAAGTGTTTTTAAAAGGCTACACACCTGGGTATATGTACATTTATCATTTGTGTGTGTGTGTGTGTGTGTGTGTATGCTTATAAAGCGAGAATAAAATTATAATAAAGAGAATAAACATTTGGGTTGTGAGTAAAGAATCTATATAGCTTTTTACAATTTTTTTTTTTAAAAAGAGATTTGTTTATTTGGAAGACAGAGAGGAGAGACAGAGAGGGAGGTTTCCATCCAGTGCTTCACTCCCCAAATGCCAACCAGATCCAGGGCTGAGCCAGGGGCCAGGAACTCCATCCTGGACTCCCAAGAGGAGAGTACCTGGGCCATCTTCCCATGTACCTAAGACAGCTTCCACTGCCTTCCCAGGTGCATAGGCAGGGAACATTAGCAGAGTCGATAGGACTGGATTCAACCCTCCAATACGGGATGCTGGCATCACAAGCGACAGCTTAACCCACTGTGCTACAACTCCCGCTCCTTCACTCTTTCTGCAAGTTCTCTACATCTGAAATTGTCTCACAATAACAGATCTTGTAAAGAGCAAGGGATTTGCCGGCGCTGCGGCTCACTAGGCTAATCCTCCGCCTTGCGGCGCCGGCACACCGGGTTCTAGTCCCGGTCGGGGCACTGGATTCTGTCCCGGTTGCCCCTCTTCCAGGCCAGCTCTCTGCTGTGGCCAGGGTGTGCAGTGGAGGATGGCCCAAGTACTTGGGCCTTGCATCCCATGGGAGACCAGGATAAGTACCTGGCTCCTGCTTTCGGATCAGCGCGGTGCGCTGGCCGCAGCACGCCAGCTGTGGCGGCCATTGGAGGGTGAACCAACAGCAAAGGAAGACCTTTCTCTCTGTCTCTCTCTCTCTCTCTCACTGTCCACTCTGCCTGTAAAAAAAAAAAAAAAAAAAAAAAAAAAGGCAAGGGATTTCAAAACTCTTTCTCTTTGCTGTGCTTCTTTTGGGAAATTCTGGATAATCCCTCAATGCCCTGTTTTGTCTCTGACCTGGAAAACACGGAGCAGATCCCAATCAACGACAACTCAGACGCAAAGAGCTGTTTCTTCAAAGGGCAACTGCACTGTGGCCAGAGGCCTGCGGCGGATGATGCTCTGGGTTCAAGTGAGTGCATTCAGGGGACTTTCCTGCAGCAGCCACAGTGTCAATCTCCATGTCAGTCATGTCAGTCTAGAGGTTAACCAGACCGCATGCCAGAAACTGCTGCTCTCCGTGGCCCAGCCCGGTGGCTGCCGGAGAACCACAGTGCATAATCAAGAAAACCAAACACATAAGAGCAGAGAAAGCCAGTTCTTTTTGTTTTTAGGTTATTTCTATGAGGTCTTATTACAAAATAGTCCTGGATGAACAGCTGGTAAGCAGCATACCACCATTTCCAATTTAACTGAGTTGTGGTGATGTTCGCCGTTTCAGTTTCAATTGGGGCTTTGTTTGCCTGCAGATTCTGAATTGATCCAGCAGGTAAGTCACACACGTCCCTTTCCCACCAGAAGCCAACCTCTGTTCATTCCCTCAGGCAGCAAAGCTTGCCAACAAGGCCCAGGGTCTGGCAGTGTGTCTACACCAAGAGCGGCCCTACATCCACTTGCCATGCAGACTGCAAACCCAGCCAGGGATCCACTGGCTGGAAACCCTCTTTTCTCAGAGTAGTTCTAGTCAGAGGTCAGTCTTAAAAGCAAGGACTCCATGGCCAGCGCTGCGGCTCACTAGGCTAATCCTCCTCCTGCAGTGACGGTACCCTGGGTTCTAGTCCCGGTTGGGGTGCCAGATTCTGTCCCGATTGCTCCTCTTCCAGTCCAGCTCTCTGCTGTGGTCTGGGAAGGCAGTGGAGGATGGCCCAGGTGCTTGAGCCCTGCACCCACATGAGAGACCAGGAAGAAGCACCTGGCTCCTGGTTTTGGATCGGCACAGCGCTGGCCGTAGCGGCCATTTGGGGAATGAACCAACGGAAGGAAGACCTTTCTCTCTGTCTCTCTCTCTCTCTTACTGTCTAACTCTGGCTGAAAAAAAAAAAAAAAAAAAGGCAAGGACTCCTGTAAACTGCAGCTGGTATGAACTGCTAGCCACTCTGTCAGCTCCGTGTGGCATCCTTGAAAGTCACTGTTTTGAGAAGTGTTAGGTTTCGCACACACTTGCACTAGGATAAGCGGTCTCCTTTCTTGTACTTTTGCAGACTGCAGAAGGGACTCCAAAACAGGTCTTTCCAAGCCTAAAGGAATTGATCTCAAAATTTGAAAAACCGAATCAAGGTCTGGTGGTTCAGCTTTTAAAACCAATCCGGAGAAGAAGCTTCAACAAGAAAAGATCAAAACCAGAGTTGGATGCTATTTATGGTAAAAGCTTTCATTCAGGGTCAGGAAGGAGCTTTAACCCCACTTCCACCAACAGCTTGCTTTGTAGAATCAATGCAAAACAAATACCCTTTTCTATGCCACTATCTCTGAAAAGCTTCAACCTGCTAAGAGCAATTTCTGTTGAGTTGAGAAATGAGGTCTTCTAGGCCCTGAAGGTGGCAGGTCATAGAGCTTTCTGTCCTTGGACAGCCCGGATAGCAGGAGTGCTCACTTCGAATTCATTCTGTAACCTTGTGTCAACAATTAGCCTTTGGCAATTAATGGACAAGTAGACAGATATGCAAATGGGAGGAAGCACTTTCAGGCTTTCCCAAGGTTCATCCTGTTACCTTTTGATCAACATTTGCTAAGCATTCATGTATAAAGTGCTAGATGACAAATTACCTCAGATACATCTCTAAAGGTGGTAAGTCTTGGTGGAGGATGAGAGACAGCCAGGAAACCTGAGTACAGAAAATCCGTAGTGAGGACCCCCAAATCACATCGCAAGTAGCGATTCTTTCTTCCTCATATTCTTGGAATCTTCTCTCAGAAGAGAAACTAGGATGTGTCATTTGCAACACAGTCTGAATTTAATGCAGACTTCCAGAGGCATGTATGTGTAATTCTGTTTTCTCATGGTGAACTGTATGGTTACCTGCTCAATGTGTTCCCAGTCACCAGTGGGCAGGTAATGATGATGAGAGCAGATGGTCTAGCTAACAAGGACAGAGGACAGAGAGTTATTGAGGAGTTTGCAATCATCCCAAACCTATTCTACTCTGTCTTCGCCAAAGTCACCCTTCAGGCTGCCACAGTGAGCTTCTCACCTCCCTAACATGAGTAAGCATGGGGTTTTAACAGTTAAAACAAAAGCCCTTCCCAATCCTTGTTTCTCTGTCCCTGCTCTTGCCAGTGCAGAGGTTAGTGCACCCATGTATACACAAAATCACTTAGTGTAGGTCCAGCTTCAAATGGAGTCCCATGGCCATTTTCCACCAAAACTTGAAGAACAAGAACCAAAAAAAAGGCAACAGAGTTAGAAATCCAGGCCTGTACCTGTACTGCAACCTTTGGGCTAGCCCAGATGAGCTGATGGCATTGGTGGGGGCTGTTGATGGCATTTGTCTTAGCAATAAGAGCAACACAAACACCCGGAGGCCCCTCAGCGCTCTTGCCTAAGAATTGGATGAGATTCTCAAGCCCAGTTCCCCGCACTGGTCTGCACTGGCAGCCTCAGCTGCAGCAGGGAAATACCCTACCATTGTCCTCATCTCCTTCCCCCTTCCCTTTGCCTCCTTAGAATAAGCGTCAGATGTTCTCCCTCTGAGAGACGCCCAGGTTTTCTGCTGGTGAATGGAGACACCTGGGGTGGAAATTCTAAGGATTAGATTTTAAGAGAATCCCCTATTTTACCAGGAGAGTTCCCTGTGGTACCCCTGCTGCCTCTGAAGATGACACTGTGATGTGGCTTCAAGATGGTTCTGTGTCTGGGGAGATGTCTTCTTTCCTGGAAGGGGGTTGGTCAGTGTGGCTCCTGCTGCGGAGTCTCATGGCGTGTCTTATGCTTTCCTCCCAGAAAACAGTGGCCATGACTATGTGCATGTCTTGCCTTGAAGATATGGAGCCTGGACAAAGCAAGTTCAAGAAGAAATGAGGTGGCAGCTCTCATCTGGTGATTCTCTCTCCTGCAGGTGTTAAGTCCAGAATGCCAAGCTCCAGTGGACAATTCAGACTTTCCTGGCCTGGGTAACTGAAGATCTTCTATCTGCCAGCCCCAGAGAAGTCACTCCCCACATCCCTGCTTCCCATGTGTATTCTAAAAGCAGTTTCCAGCCAGCCCCCGCCACCCCATTCACCTCTCTTCCTTGTTGGAATCAGACAACCTGGACCTACTCTCCTTGCCTTGTTAAAGGTCCTACCACTGCTTTGTCACGATTGTTACTCTCCTTCTGACAAGCTGATCAGAGAGGGGTGCACACTTGCCATTGTGATCAGAGCCATGAGTTCAAGCCCTGTGGCTGCCTTACTTTGGAAAAACTTCACCCCTTCTCTAGGTCTTAGTTTCTTCATCTGTAATGCAAATGGTTGGGTGGGATGATGCACGCTGCCCCAAACCCCCTGTTGGACCTGGTTGTATTGTGTGAATTTGGGGAAGTTGGGAGTGATGGAAATTTATACAGCATCAATGGGATCAGGATCTCAGCCGTCACCTTCTGTGTAGCTGTCTGTGTTGGTCTTGGTCATGGTGAGGGCCTTGATCCACAACACACACCCATCTCCAGCCAGGTATATTTTCTCTCTAGCTCTGCTCCTTTCTAATCTTGATCTTCTTGCCATCAACCTGGACACACTTTCTTCCTGTTTCTATTCAAGCACCAACCACTTCAGCAGTAGTTGTACAGCATTGTAGTGTAGTTCTGTACAATGATACATACTCCCCCATTTGTGATTTCTCTTCCCTTCGAGGTTCTCAGTGTCATCAAAGCATGATTGGATCTCCCCTGAGCCTTCCACAGCATGTAGAAATATGTGTTGCATACAGACGTGTCTCGTTCCTAGAGACTATCGATTGGAAGCACATCTCTGAAAAGTTTGTTGCATTGGTAAAGCCCCTTCAATTTTTCTACTAGTTCAAAATGGTAATCAAGACCACCTTCATTCTGAATGTACCAAGTTCTATGCCGTTTCTCTTGCCATCTTCAAAACTTAACGGTTCACTTCACTCCACTGGTTTTCCAAGTTTATTGAAGAGAGGAACTCTAAATTTCCAGATAACGTGGACAGGAACTGTGGCTGGGGCCCCAAAGTATGAATAATTTAGAATTCCTGGGTCACAGCAATCCATGGTTACTACAAAGACAAGGAGTGAAATGCCATATTCAGAGAGCTGTGGAAGCCAAATCCTTCTGGTCAATTCAGTAAAGGATGCTGGAAGCAAGCCTGCTCCCTGGGATTCAGTTCTGTATCTTGAATTCTATATACTAAGAAATATATTCCAGTTTCTAGAGCCTAGAGCAATCTTTGGCACATAAAATATATTCAATGAGTATTTCTTGAGTAAGTCAGTATATAAAATGTGGCCTTTCTGGATAGCAGAGGTTTGTTTAAACTTTATTTACTTCCAAATCCAGTGGCTCAAGACTATTAGTTCAGGATCCAGTGATAACTCTCCTAGAAGTATTTTTTTTTCTTTTCTTCTTGCGCACCTGTGCAAAGTACCTTATACAATGCATGGCCTCCAGGAGCTTCCAGTACCTTTCTCAAATGAACAAGGCACATTAGATAGCTAACGTTGACATTATGCTATAATGCCAATAATCCTTGACATTTTTTAGAAGACCTTGGACAGCTTACATGAGGAACCACTGAAAACTCAGGTTATATGGGACTGGGAAAGGAAAAACAAATTATTCAAAGCAATGCCAAGTGTTTGAAGCGCTGTTCTATGAAAGTGGATGTAGACTCATTGGCTACAAGGACAGGCAGCAGAATTCAGACCAATGGATGAGTGTTTCTAGCAGGGCAGTTTTAGCCAAATGTAATAATGAAGACTGAATCCACCAGAGCTATTCTGCATCCTAACAGTCTGCTCTGTATTCTGGTTCCAGTGAGGAGGTGATATTTTCCAAGGATATGGGAAAGATAATCTCTGTCTTTACAAGAAGTTAGACTGCCTTACTGCTAAGGCATCTTCCAACTCAAGGAGTCTCAGGTTCTAGTCCCTTAACAACCAGACTGGGATATCCCCCCTTCCTTTCTGGATTGATGTGTGGAAAATTGATAATTCTTACTCACCACAACCATCAGTCCATACGTGAACTCTATTTTGTTTCATTTTTCTTCCCTTCATCCCTAACTTTCAATGTTCACCCATAGAAACCAGCTATATACATCTATATTTGATGTACGTTGTTGTATATGTATGTGCCCTTATAGAATATACAGTATTGTTTTTGAATTTGTATCTTTGGCATTTATGTACATAGTATGGTACTATTGCTCCAATTCTGTTACTACTTTTTTCAAACAATACTGTTTGATTCTGTGATCAGAGCCATGAGTGTACATCTAATTCAGTGCCTCTAACTGATGCATGGAATTCCATTGTGTGTATCCACCATATTTTGCTCATCTGTTACTCTAGATATAGATACTGAGATTGGTTCCAATTCCCCGCTACCATAAACAACACTGTGATGAACATCTTCCCATGGACCTCCTTACAGAAACATGAGAGCTTCTCTGGACTCTATGGATGGGTCATAATGTATGCTCATATTGAACTGTGATGTAATCAAACATATCAAGTATCCTTGCTTTATGTTTTGCATGTGTGTGTGTGTGATTCTTGTTTAAGAACTCCTTCTCTGCCCTGAGAGCATAAGAAAGTTACTCTTCACTTTCTTTACTGACTTTATACTACTACCATCTGCAGTTAGGGTTTTAATGAGAGCAAAGGTTTTATTCTTTTTCGCTGAATATCTCCAGTACCTAGAAAAGTCCTTCACGTGTAGTGGATGCTCAATAGTATTTGTTGACTAAGTGGTGTCAACCTTTGCATTCAGTAAGAGGTAAAAATCCAACTTTGGGCCGGCACCGCGGCTTACTAGGCTAATCCTCCGCCTTGCGGTGCTGGCACACCGGGTTCTAGTCCTGGTCGGGGCGCCGGATTCTGTCCCGGTTGCCCCTCTTCCAGGCCAGCTCTCTGCTGTGGCCCGGGAGTGCAGTGGAGGATGGCCCAAGTGCTTGGGCCCTGCACCCCATGGGAGACCAGGAGAAGCACCTGGCTCCTGCCATCGGATCAGCACGGTGCGCCGGCCGCAGCGCGCCAGCCGCGGCGGCCATTGGAGGGTGAACCAACGGCAAAAGGAAGACCTTTCTCTCTGTCTCTCTCTCTCTCACTGTCAACTCTGCCTGTCAAAAATAAATAAATAAATAAAAAATCCAACTTTGTATCCTTTAACGTGCGTTATTGAGCTAGCTTCCCTATTTCAATATGTTAATAATTCAACTTGCCCTTTTATGTTCCTCCTTTATAATACATGACAATGGTTCTAGAACTCTCCCTTTCTAATGCATTATTGTCTTTTTTCTTAATAACTTACATCATTATCTGTGGGTAAGACAAGAGCCTTCTCTTATTTTTTGAAGCTGTCTTAGCTATTCATGGACCTTGACTTGGCTGTACTTGGTTTAGAATAAATATGTTAAGTTGCTCAAAGCCTCTTGCTGAAATTTGGAATGAACTTGCCATGAATTTGTAGGGTGACTAGAAAACAACTGACAGTCTTGTGATTTCCCCCACGAATAAGCACGCTGCAGCGTGTTTTTTTTTTTCTCTTTCATTTGTAAAGTTTCACCATAGGAGTCTTGTATATTCTGGTTGACTAATTTTTAATTATTTCTGGTTGTTACAAATTATATCATACTTTATTACAGTTCTAATAGGCTACAATGGTAGCAAAATTCTTGCTGTGTTCCTGGATCCACTGGTTTACTGTTGGTTCTATTGTATTTTCTATGTAAATTTTTTGCTAGCTATACATGATAACTCTTGTTGTCTTACATTACATATGCTTATTTATTTTTCATGCTTATCTCATTTGCCAGAGCCTCCATATACATTAAATAGTAATTTTGATAGTGATCATTGTTGTATTGTTTTCAGTGTTATAAAAATACTTTGAACTTTTATCCATTGTAAGCATGTTTGTTTTAGGTTTTTAGTAGATAGCCTTTATCAAGGTTATTTTAGAATTTTTATCAGCAATGTTTTGAAATTTACTGTGAATTTTTTCTGCATCTACTGAGATAGTTGTATTCCTGTTACAGTCACTCCATCATAAAGTTAAATTACATGAATAAAATAACTGATGTACCATTGCTTAAGTGGATCATATTGTATAATTTTAATAAACTGTTGTATTTAGTAAGTTAATATTTCATTTGAAACTTTTGCAACAAAACTCATAAATGAATTTCCTTCATCTTGATTATACTAATCATATAAAGTCAATTAAGATCTTTCTCCTTTTTATATTTTCTTCAACAACTTTATCAGGTCAGAATTATCTGCTCCTTGAAATTTTTTTTAAGATTTATCTATTTGTTTGAAAGTCAGAGTTACACACAGAGAGAGAGAGAGATCTTCCATCCACTGGTTCACTCCTCAGATGACTGCAATGGCTGGGATTGGGCCAGGCCAAAGCCAAGAACCAGGAGCCAGGAGCCTCTTCCAGGTCTCCCACATGGGTAGCAGTGGCCCAAGCATTTGGGCTATCTTCCACTGCTTTTCCCAGGTCATTAGCAGGGAGCTGGATCAGAAGTGGAGCAGCCGGGGCACAAACCAGCACCCATGTGGGATGCCAACATTGTGGCAGTGGCTTTACCTGCTATGCTACAATGCCAGCCCTCTTTTAAACATTTTAGCACTTTCTTGCAGAGCTGAGTTTGCAGCTCTGGTGATGGTGGTGGTGGAGGAGTCTCCTATTACTTTTTAAACATCTTCAAAACTTAGGCTGGCGCCGCGGCTCACTAGGCTAATCCTCCGCCTTGCGGCGCCGGCACACCGGGTTCTAGTCCCGGTCGGGGCGCCGGATTCTGTCCCGGTTGCCCCTCTTCCAGGCCAGCTCTCTGCTGTGGCCCGGGAGTGCAGTGGAGGATGGCCCAAGTGCTTTGGCTCTGCACCCCATGGGAGACCAGGAGAAGTACCTGGCTCCTGCCATCGGATCAGCGCGGTGTGCCGGCCACGGCGGCCATTGGAGGGTGAACCAACGGCAAAAGGAAGACCTTTCTCTCTGTCTCTCTCTCTCACTGTCCACTCTACCTGTCCAAAACAAAACAAAACAAAACAAAAAAAAACCAAAAACTTATTGGTTAATTCAATTAATTTGTAAGTTTTTTTTTTCTAAGAATGTGTCAACTTTATCTAAGCTTTCAAATTATTGACACATAGGTCATAATATTTATTACTTTATGCTCGGATGAGACTGAGCATTAGCACATGCCCACACCTGCATCTTACTTACATCTCACTCTTGTCTTGTTAAGCAATTTTATCTAGCTTATTGTATTTCAAAGCCAGCTTTCAGTTTGGGTAATCGTTTTATTGTTTTTAGATTGGTATTCTCAATAGAATTGATATCTTATTTTGGGGGGAATCTATCTAATTTTTTTTATTATAGTTTTCTAATAAATGTATTTAAAGCTATGAATTTCAATCCAGATACTTCAGATTTATCATAAATGGCATTCACTGCAGTTCAAGCCATGGTATTTTAATTCCTGTGAAAGTGTCCTCTTCAACCTAAGGACTAGTTAGTAGTTTGTAATCATTTTGAAACATAGGCTTTAGTTTTGCCTGAGATTTCAAAGCAGACGTTGGTAAGGTGAGGTCAAAGTCTGACTTCCATCTCCCAAGGCTTCCTTACTGACTCAGCCAATGTGAATGTTCTATGAATACAAGGATGCTTCAAAAGTCTGTCAAAAAACGGACTCATAAGTTTACTTTGGTGCAAAAGAAGTTTGAAATCTATGCTTTTTTTTTTCCCATAATACACATTTTCCATGGCCTTTCTGCAGACTCCTTGTAGTCTTCATTCCCATCACCCCTAGGCATAGTCAACATTACAGATCCCATTAAAACAAGGACGTCCATAAGTTCACCAGTTTCCATCTGTTTGACTTATCAGAGAGGTGAATCTCTCAGTTTAACTCAATATTAACTTTCTGGTTACAATTTACTGATTTGTCTACACCATCCTGCCACTCTTGTTTTAACATTTTTTAGAATTTCTAATTGACACATAAAAGCATAGGGTACCCTGTGATGTTTTGATCCATCTGCGCCTTGTGCAGTGTTCAAATCAGGGTAAATATATCCACCTGCTCAACCTTCACTGTGGTGAAATATTCAAAATCCTTCCTTCTAGCTTTTGAGCTTATTGAAGTGTATATATTTTATAATTATTTTATGATCTCAGTCTGTTTTTACAAAGTGCTTCTCTGATGATTTCTTGCTTTAGTTGTATTATATTTAATATTAAAATTGTTATCCTAATTTTCTTTTCATTCATAGTTTCTCAGGCATCAGATTTTCTAAGCCTTCATTATCAAGTTTTTTCTTATTTTTTAACATCCCCTTCTGTAGACAAAATATTGCTGGATCTATTTTCTTCCAATTTAAGATCCTCTCTTTTGTCTGGTGCACTCAGCACACTTACAGTCACTGTCATTTGCTTTGCTGGAAGTCATTTCTGCTATCCCGTTCCATTGTGTCCATTTACTACACATCTTGTTTCTTTTTCCCTTTCCTTTCCTGCTTTTAATCAAATAGATCAAAATTATCCCTGCTAATCTGAAAGCTCCATTTTAAAAAAGATGGTGGTTAGGCCAGTGCCGCAGCTCACTTGGCTAATCCTCTGCCTGTGGCGCCAGCACCCTGGGTTCTAGTCCCGGTTGGGGTGCCGGATTCTGTCCCGGTTGCTCCTCTTCCAGGCCAGCTCTCTGCTGTGGCCCGGGAGTGCAGTGGAGGATGGCCCAGGTCCATGGACCCTGCACCCACATGGGAGACCAAGAGGAAGCACCTGGCTCCTGGCTTCAGATCTTCGCAGTGCGCTGGCCACAGCACGCTGGCCGTAGCGGCCACTCTGGAGAGTGAACCAATGGAAGGAAGACCTTTCTCTCTATCTCTCTCTCACTGTTCACTCTGCTTTAAAAAAAAAATAAAAAGATGGTGGTTATCCATAACTTAATAAAACTTGTATTTTTCCTTTTTTTTTCTGTACAATAAATATAGCAAATGTGTCTATTGCTATCATAGACATTTTTTTTTTTCCCCATTTCCCGGGACGAAGGGCTCTCCGCACCGGACCCCGGTCCTGACGTGGGGGGCGCGGGCCGCCGGCGGGGACGGCGGGGGACCGGCTATCCGAGGCCAACCGAGGCTCCTTCGGCGCTGCCGTATCGTTCCGCCTGGGCGGATTCTGACTTAGACATTGTTTTTATATTATATCACCAATGTCAATCCCACCCAATTTTCTGATATAATCAAAGAGTTTGTGGAAGGGAACAAAAATACTTTGAAATGCATGTACAATTTTTTCATGATATATGTTTTCCAAAGTTTTTGGAGACCCCTTTCTCTGTTTGCTGAAATATTTTTTTCCAAGAGCATCTTTGTATTTGAAAACTTTCTAACAGAATCATTTAAAGTGTTCTTATTAAAGATGGTCTGGAGGCCAGCGCTGTGTCTGATCCAGCTCTCTGTTATGGCCTGGGAAAGCAGTAGGAGATGGTCCAAGTCCTTGGGCCCCAGCACCTGCATGGGAGACCTGGAAGAAGCTCCTGGCTCCTGGCTTCAGATAGGTCCAGCTCCAGCCATTACGTCCATTTGGGGAGTGAACTATCAGATGGAAGACCTCTCTGTCTCTGTCTCTGTCTCTCTGTCTCTCTGCCTCTCTGTAACTCTGCCTTTCAAACAAACAAATCTTAAAAAAAGAAAAAAAGAAGAAGATGGTCTGAGATGGAAGAGATAGGAGAGGTGGAGGAGGGAGAGGGAAAGAGGGATCTTCCATTAGCGGGTCCACGCCCCCAAACACCTGAACTCCAGGACTGAGCCTGGACCACTACTACCAATCCAGGTCTCCCACGTGGGTGGTAGGGACCCAAATACTTGAGCCTTGTGCATATCACATCTTTTATTTCTTCCTTCACATGCTATTTGTGAATAATTTTAGGAAATTGTAAGCATCTTAGAAATAGTGGGGCCGGCGCTGTGGCATAGCGGGTTAAGCTGCTACCTGAAGTGCCAGCATCCCATATGGGCGTCGGTTCCAAGCCCGGCTGCTCCACTTCCTATCCAGCTCTCTGCTGTGGCCTGGGAAAGCAATGGAAGATGGCCCAAGTCCTTGGGGCCCTGACCCCACGTGGGAGACCTGGAGGACACTCCTGGCTCCTGGCTTTGGATCAATGCAGCTCTGGCCATTGCGGCCATCTGGGGAGTGAACCAGCGGATGGAAGACCTCTCTCTGTCTCTACTTCTCTCTGTAACTCTGTCTTTCAAATAAATGAATAAATCTTTGAAAAAATTGAAATAGTATTTATCTCATATATTAATATTATTGTAAAAAAATCTCCTTTGGAGGGAAGCAACAAGAAGCTGTAATACTGAAAATTAGCCACACGAGGGCAGACCGTCATCAAGAAACCCAGCACCGCACGGTTGCTGTTTTTAAGCACTGGCGAGTTAACCACAATGGCTATATATCCTGATGTTCTTTAGGCAGGTACTGTCCAGTTGCTCATCTCCCAGTTGAATGCTTTGTCTTCAGTGTCGATGCCAGCCTTCCCCGAGTTTGCAATTTCAGCGACAACAGCCGAACTCCCACCATTCTACAGCCGGCTGAAATTACGGAGCGTCAGAGCGGATTCTTAGCAATCCCCTTAGGAACGAATGTTTTCAGCAGGTGCTACTGTCAGCTCTGTCACTTACTGGGAGAGTGACTGTGGGCGAACTGCTAAACTCCCTGAGTCTTTGATTGGCCTCAGCTAGAAAAGAGGGATCATGTATCGTGGCACCCAGGGTTGTCGTGGCGTCCGGTGAGACGACCCTGGCACAGGTTAGCCTTTGAGAAATGGAGGCTTTGTCCAATGAGGGAGCTGAGCTATACATTGCAGGCTGGGCTTGGTCAGGTCGCCCTTGCACTATTCTTGGGGAAAGCAATCGAGCTGATTGTGTGCATTGATGCGCACCATTCCTGGGGAGTCTAGGAGCTTTATCGATGTCCCGGAGCTCCAGCTGAGAGGGAGGCTGCGAGTGGGAAGCTACAATGTTACAAATGGGAACACAGCGGCTCCCACGGGTACCGGGCCAGACAAAATGCACCTGTCCAGAGTTAATAAAGGCTCTGGCTGCAGGCAAAGGAGCCACATCTGGGCCTGTTCATGCTTTTCCTCACCCCTTCCCTGCACAGCAAAGATTGGGCCCAGAGCCTGTCTGTGGTCAGTGGCTCTGAGGATGGGCGTTGGAAAAACTCAGTTCCAACACTTCATTGAGCCCTTGGGCCACACCGGGCACTGTGCTGGGAGATGAGGCCACAACTTCCCACGTCATGCAGCAAGGGCTGCAATGGCCAGTGCCTGGGCTGCTCCAGGAGAGCAGGGGAGGGCTGGGGGTGGGGGGCAGGGAAAGACCCCTGGAGGGAGGGGCACCTGAGCCGAGGGCTGAAGAATGATGTAACGCAGCCTGGCTAAGTCGGAGGTAAGAGAGGGGAAGGCGAACCGGTGGTCCAGGTAGGAGGGCTGCCTTCCATGAGGGCATGGGGGCGGTTCTGGGAGGCTGCTGGGGTTCAGCTTGGAGCAGGGAGGCAGGCTTGACCAGTAGAGTCTGCCAGGTAGGCTGGGGCTGGGGTGAGAAGACCCGCAGTGCACAGTACCTGTTGGACACCTGGCTTGTGCCTCCCAGCAAGACTTCCCGACGTGTCACAACATGGGGCAGCTACAGAGTCACTGAGGGCAAGGCATGGGCAGTCCGGCCCCCCAGCCTCGCCCACCTGTCAGCTTCATTGCACAGAATGGTCACTTCCCAGGGGGCTGGCGCAGCCTCTCGGGGAGATCCAGCTCCTATGTCACACCTTGGCCAGGTCTAGGGAGCAATTGTCAGGTGTGCCACCCACACTTCCCGAGAATGCCGGAAGACAGGAGCCAGGATTCAAATCAGGTCAGGCCCATGGAGCCAGCGTTTTCCAGATCCCAGGAAGTGATAGGAGGCTCATGCAGGGCGGGGGCCCCGGTTTCTCAGCAGCCCCACCGGGTTTCGGCAGGCGCGGCGGGCTCAGGATACAGACAGCACTCAGCCATGTGGCTGAGGCCACAAGCCTTTCCCAGGGCCGACAGAGTCCCTCCCGTCAGTGGCCTGTGGTGGCCGAGACCAGCCTGAAAACCACAGGGAGTTCTCAGTGGCTGAGAGCTCGCCCAAAAGCAGGCTGAACGCCAAGAAGTTCCTGACCACGAGACCAGGCCAGCAGGAGAGACACCATCACCGGGAGCCTGGGATGAGCAAGGTGGCCAATGGGTGGCCAACAAGGTGGCCAACTGGTGGTCTTCAGGGGGAAGGCAGCTAAGCAGATGGCCGCGGGAAGAGCCGGCTGTGCAAACACGATTAAACAAGGTTGCGCTGTGTTGGGAGGCTGCTTGTTGTTTTCAGTTGTTTCATTCAGAGATGGTTTTATGGTCAATTGCAAAGGAAAACCACTGGCAGTGTGGTTCCTGCTCTGTGTAGGCAGCAGATTCTCCAGGCAACCCCCACGGGGCAGGACGCAGCCCGGGGCAGAGCTGACCCACAGGGTCTGCCCAGCTTGCGTCCCGTGTGTGTGCGGCCAATGGCCCAGGGAGTGAGTGCTTGGCGGGGAAGAGCATGCCCAGGCCCCCTTGGGCTGGACTGTTTATCCCGGCAGCAGCTGGAGATAAGCCGGGCACAAAGGCGATTGTGTCTCCCAGGGGTCGCTCCCTGGATACAGCAAGCAGAGGAATTTTCTCATTAGTAGGAAGTCAGCGCAGGGGACTCTGGGCTTTCATGGTGGTGGGGGTGGGGGTGGGGGGGTCTGCAGGCTGCAGTGCCAACGGCAGCAGGAGGAGGGCATCCCGGAGGGGGCAGGTGCCATGCACACTTGGTCACTTGTTCCCACTCACAGGGGAGCCAAGGTGGGGTGTCCAGAGCGAGGAGCCCAAACCCAGCAGCAGGTGCAGCAGGGAGCACTGTGCAGAGCCCAAGGGACCCCGAGGACCAAAAGCTCAACGAGAATCCACTAAAGTCATTGCTGAGTTCTGCTGCTGCGAGGCTGGCCTGCTCCTCACTGTGGCGCGGAGATGGGGGTGTGCAAGGGGAGACACAGAGAGTCCAGCCCAGAGCTGGAGAACACGCCCAGGATTCACCCGCTGCACAGGGACTCAGCGCCTGGGAGCAGAGCAAGCTGCCCACGAAGGAGTGCTCTTGACCTTGGGGCAGCATCAGAGCCCATAAATCTGCACCCCAGCTAGGGTTCCCCGCTAGCACCTGCATACTTGGGGAAGGAAGCTGATGGGCTCCCATTCAGTGTCTTCTGTCAATTTCTGTACACATAGAAGAAATGGATGTTCCTTTAGCACTCCACTGTTATTTTTTTTTCAAAATTTATTGGAAAGGCATGTTGGAAAGGCAGAGAGAGGAAAGGAGGATGAGGGAGAGGGGCATCTACCACCCGCTGGTTCACTCCCCAGTTGGCTGCAATAGCTGAGGCTGGGCCAAGCCGAAGCCAGGAGCTAGGAGCTTCATCTGGGTCTCCCATGTGGGCAGCAGGAGCCCAGGGATTTGAGCCATCCTCGGCTGCTTTCCCAGGCGCAGGAACAGTGAGCTGGATCAGAAGTGGAGCAGCTGGGACTCTGATATAGGACGCTGGCGTCGCAGGTGGAGGCTTAACCCTCTAAAGCACCGCACCAGCTCCTGGTCTGCTCTTCCACACCCAGTGACAGATCTTGTGAGCCTAACTCGCAGGCAGGCAGAGACAGGGCGTCCTGTGTACCCCTTCTTTGCCAGTGTCAGCAGCGCCCCACAGAGCTGGTGGTGGGCAGGGAACTGGATAGCTGGACCGAGCGGAGGCCTCCGTGCCCAGCTTCCAGACCAGAGAGTGCTCTGCTTTGAGCTCCCCGTTAGCAGCGACTGGCACACCCATGCTCACGCTTACAATGTCCTCCCAAAATGTTGACAATTCTGCCCTCTCCCGAAGCTATTACTTGGCATAACAGAGAGAAGGAAAGGCATGTTCAAGGCACATTTCACACCTGAGCACCTGCAGCAAGGATCCTGAAGCCATCCAATGGGAGAGGTCGTCCCAGGCACTCCGGTCAAGAAAAGAGGCTGTCATTGTCAATGCTTTCAATGCTTTTCCCCATGCGCAGAATGTGTGGGGCTGGATTTTGTGTCGCCCACCCCTGCTTCCCAGAATATCCCATGCCCGCCCGGCTGCAAGAGAGAGCGAGCAACCCCAGAGCCCAGCTGCTGCCTCCCGGTTCCTGCTCTGCGAGGTCCAGTATTGGAGTGGAGTCAGATGCAGGGAGGGCACTCAGCCATGCACCGGAGACTCTGATGAGCGGAGTCCAGGAGCCCCTGGCAGCCGCCCTGCGAATCCAAGCCCTGGCGGAGTCATGGTGGCCAAGCAGAGGGCCGGGCAGGACAGCTCTGGTGTCTCCCGGTGCCCCTCCTCCCTCAAAACAGATAGGACATCACTTCCCTTCTTGATTTCTTTATTCCTTCGAAGGTTAAAGGCCTGGCCACCTCTCAGCGGGGTGAGCACTCCGTGGTCCAGACCAGCTCTTATCCAAGCCACATTCTCCCCATCAATGGGTGTCCAGGCTCAGCCAGTCCAGGGAAGCCTGTGGCAGCGAGGCCCTGGGCAGCCCCTAGGTCAGCAGCTCTGGGTATTTTTGCTAACATGTATACTGGGGAGGCTTCCCTATAAGAATCTGATGGAAGCTCTGGCCCACCCTGAAAGAGGGTGTGCACACATGCCCCCCTCTCCATCCCTTCATTGGTGGGAGAGGACTGTGTAACCCAGCTTGTGACTCTCAGGCCTGGCCACTGGCCCTTCCACCTGAATGGCAGTGGGGTCTTACCCGCATACACCATGTGGAGCCCTGCAACAGTGACAGGTCTGGTGGGCAGAGGGACACTCTGAATGGTGGCCAGTGGAACCATCTCCTGAGAAACTGTCTGTCCCTCCAGGGCGTTGGATGGGAGCTTTGATGGCAGCGCCCACCTCCCCATCTCCCTCTCTCCAGCTCACACACAGCCAAATGCCCTGCTCCCTACAAGGCAACCCCGAGGAAGCCACTGCTCCCGGTGGTCAGCCAGGAGGCAGACAGACAGAGCCAGCAAACCAAACCAAACCAAACCGTTTTATTGTGCAATTCCCATCTACCAGAAAATTACTAAAAATATAAATATTAATTCTCTAGAAAATCCTCAGATCTGTAATCTTCCTCCTTCCCCGGACTGGGGCAGCTTTCTCCTTTTCACAGGTGGTGGCTGCCAGCCCTGTGTCTTCCTCTCGCCCACGTGCTGACAGTCACTCTCTCCCCCTATGCAGGGTCTCCATTCTCCTGCCAGGTTCTGGAAGCTCACGCCTTGGTCTATCAGGGTAAAGATATGTGCTGAGTAGGGGGCTACCACGGACTTCAGGGAGACAAGACTTGGGGGGCTCAACTTCCTAGAAGAAAGGTCCTTGGTGCCGCCTCACCACCCTGCCCTCTTGGGGACTGGCTGCCCGAGGGGTGAGCTCCCAGAGAAGCTGGATCCGCTTTGAGGGGGCTGTGGGAACATAGCTGCCGAGCCATTGGGTGGACTTGCAAATCAGGAGGGCTTTGGATGGAAGAGTTGGTCTGAGCCGAGCCCTGCGGGATTGTCCCTGCTGGGCTGTGAGCAGCACCTGTCCCTTCCAGCCCCAGGCAGTACCTGCAGCATCTGAGACCAGATTTCACAGGCCTGCAGGAGCCAGGCCACACTCGCCTTCACCAGGGAGAGAGGAGAGATGTAAGTCCACAGACAGCGTGTGCAAGAGCTCACATAGCCACAGAACCAACAGTGCAGGAAGGGGCAGGGCCCATTGCCAGCCACTCCTCCGAGGCTCCCGGCTCTGCAGCAGTAGGTGTGGGAATCTCACCTGCAGAGGTGGCAGGGAGGGGATGCACTCGTCCCAGAGCCCAGGAGCAGGCAGCCAGATAGTGGATAGAAGAGCAGACGCCTCTGCCCGGCCTGCCCTGGCTGCATGAGCCCCTCCCAGCCTTCCCCCTTCCTCAACCCTGGCTGTCCCTTCTCCCCGCGAAGCCCCTCCGGGTTGAATGCACCCCCTCGCTGGCCACAGGAAGACAGCAAGATAGGACCTCTGGTAGGAAACAGACACAAGAGCAAGTTCGCCTAAAACCAGTTCAGGTTGGACCCACTTTATCATCCCGGCCACAGATGCTCCAGGGGAAGCGCAGAAGGGAAAGGCAGGCCAGACGCGGGGCCCTCGGGCGACTTCTGCGCAAGCGCATACACGCCTCCCACGTCATCAGTTCGAAGTGGCTGCTCCCCGACACTGACCTCGTTCCAGCCCCTCACATGCTCTGGCCCTCGTGCTTGCCGCGCCAGCCCCTGGAGTCGGCTCACTTGCTGGAGAGCTGCTCTGACCCCCAGTGACTGCTCTTCTTGGTCCCGTCCTCACTGCCTTTTCTACCTGGACTCTGCAGTTCCCTCCTTAGGGCCCCCTGCAGGCTCCCGGGCCCTTCCCTCTACACACAGCCTGCGTACTCACGTGCTGCGTACTGACGCTTCCGCTGCACCTGCCCCGCGCACCCGGCGAGGGAGCCTCGCTTTCCCTTCTGCGCAGGCGCCCCAGACACCCTGATTCCCTGAGTGCCTCTTCCAGACAGGCAGCGACTTCATTGTGGGTTCTGCCTCTGACTCTACCGCGTACATCTTGAGAATCCCGGGTTCAAGTCTCGGGTGAGCCCTCAGTGTCTCAGGCCTGGTCAGCATCTCCCCAGAGCTTCCAACCCAGGGGCAAAGGCAAGGAGGGTCCCAGGGACACGTGCTGCCTTGGGACTCCAAGAAGCCACGGCTGGGCAGTGGTCAGGGTGTGTGGCTTTCCAGGCCTGGGCCCATCAGTAAGCCAGCCCCATCATCGCTCACCCAACCTTGCTCCTTGTGGGGCAGGGGGCCCCTGGGCCATCAAGGAGGACAGAGAAGGAAGCAGGGCACAGAGGGAGAAAAGCAGGGGAGTAGGCAGTGTAGAAGGGACAGGAAAAGAGAATTCCTGCAAGGGCCATGCTGCCGGCCCTGCGGCCCTGCAGGTCAGCGGGAAGCCAGGGCGTGCTCAGCCCTGTTGGAGCTCTGGTATCCAAGGACTGCAGTAGACTCCCAGAGGGGCTTACGGGAAGAAATTCGGGATGGGGGTGGCACCCGAGTCCCTGTGCCTCTGCAGACTCTAGTTGGTACTACTCAAAGATTTCCTAGTGTGCAGCGACCCACGTGGGAGAACCGGCCGCACCGTGCTGCGCATGTGCACGCAAGACACAGACACCGCGGAGCGCAGGGCCTGTGTGCGCAGTGGAGGAGTGGGTGGTGCTTGGTGCGGGACACTACTCAAAGGACAGCAGATCCGGGTGAGGGCCCTCATTGTCTTGGCTGGAGGTCCGTGCCCCTGGAGGGGGACTGCTGTTCCCCCAGGACTCGCCCAGGCTGATGGGGCTCAGGCTGAGTTTGAGGCCGGGGGAGGAGGCCCTTCTGTGCTCAGTCGTCTTTAGCGTGGCTTCGTCCTGGCTGTCCTTGTGGATGAGGTCGGGGACCGAGGACAGGGGCACCTCTCCGTTGGGCAGAGTCTCGCTTTCCTCTCCCATTTCCGGGGTGGCCACCTCTGGCTGTGACGTCTCTGCTGGGGTAGGCGGGGCCGTGGGAGGGGAGTCCTGGGGCTGCCCGAGTGGCAGCTCTGTCCCATACTCCAGATTGCTTAGGACAGGCTGCGAGGAAATCAGCATGTCCTGGGTGGTCTTCAGGGCCCGGGGGGTTCGCTTCCTGGTTATGGGAGGCGGAGGGTCCAGCCGAGGGAACGCTTCCTGCAGGACTGACCTGTAAGGTAGAGCACAGTGGACATTCAGGCTTTAAGGACGCCAGTCCACGCTGCGTTCTCACCTCTCTAACCCCACCTGTACTTACAACTCCCTCACTCAATGAGAGCGAGCGGTACGCCCTGGGCTCTCGTTCTTGGTTTAGCTGGTGGGTCTCAGTAACTTGTGCACAAACGGCTTTTGGCCCGTTCCAGCCTCATGCAGATCAGCACAGCGCCTTGCCTCCAGGAGGCGGGATCACTGGAGACCTGCGTCAGGGCAGAGCCGCTGCAGTAGGCCCCGTGCAGGAGGTGCAGGTGTTCCAAACAAGGCCTGGGCAGCACCTGTTGGTGCAATCCGGAAGGAGGGCAGGGCTATCTCACCCCCATCCCAGGGGCTCGGTGTGGCTGGTGGTGGAGCTGCTGCGCCTCACTTGGGGTCAGACCCAGCTCTCTGCCAAGTACTGACTGACTTCTGGCTACTCTCCCCGTCTCTGAACTCGAGTCATCTGCAAAGGGAGACATACGCTCCCTGCTAGGACTATTGTGAGGATTAGAAAAAAACAAGGCAGATACAGTGTGTAGCAGTGCTAAGGCCACTGGGCACGCAGGACGCATGAGCTGTGGCTATGGAGGTTGACTCTGGCGCTTGTGAACACGACCCAGCCTTCTGCTTCTCTTGACATGACTTTCACTTCCCAGCCTTATGCCTTTTCTCCCCTGGAGACGCTGCATGAGCCCACGGAACTGCAGGGATAGCGGGCAGGTGGGAAGGGGCTCACCTTTCATCCTCCAGCCAGGCCCCGGGTGCCGCATCAGTCCCATCAGCCAGCTGGGCCTCGGCTGTCTTGTTGATCTCCGTCACGCCCACGCTGCCGAGGCTCGAGAGCTCCTTTCTCCGCAGGAAGTCATTGACTTTGGCCCCCACGGCTTTGCCCAGGTTCTTGAGGTGCTGGCTGCTGCCTACCCAGAGTCCCGGCACGCCAGCCTCCGCAGAGCCCAGGGCGGCAGAGCTGGGGGCTGCAGGCCTGGACAAGTGGGGGAAGGAGCGGCTAGACTGGAGCTTTGGAGTGAGGGCTGTGTTCAAGTTCTCAAACATGCTGTGGTCCACTGGAACAGAGAAGGGAGAAAGGACCGGCTGAGAGCGGGGAGTGGACCTTTGTGCCATCGCCCGGCTCTTCTCACACACACCCCCAAGATTCCCTGAGGTTTTGGAATTACAAGGGGTCTTCAAAAAATCATGGGAAATGCACATTGTCATTAACCTTGCATGAATTTTCAAACATTTCGAGCACCCAATTAAACTTATTTTTTCCCCTTCCATTTCCCATGAGCTTTTGCAGTGCTCTGGTGTTCAAGAAAGACCCAGCAAACATGCTCTTGAACTGCAAAGTGGAGTTCTCTTGATGGGACCACAGGTTCTCGTTCTGCTCCACCCAGGGCAATCAGTGACTAACTGTGGCCATAAAACTAACTGATTTCTTTAAGCCCGCCTCCTTGATTCACAGCTTGACCCCTTTATTTGGGGTCACCAGGCTCTTTGAAGTAGAGAGAAAATAAGGATGGAGCAATGGAACATGACGTTGTAACACAGCCATGGGCACATGCTGGGCTCTCAGCCCTGGGGCAGCAGCTGGTGGAGAGATGGCAAGCATGAGCCTGGTGCTGGAAGTCCCGAGTGTGATTTTCCATATGGAGAATGGCCTAGCAGTTCCTCATCTCCAGGGGTAGAACCTGGGGGCAGAGGGGAGGCCAGCTTTGGTGCAGATATCTGAAGTGGTGGTTCAGAACCAGTGGACACCACCTGGCCAGTTCCTTGGTGCTGGGGCACACTGCCAGCCCACTTAATCTTTTACCACAGTCTAGCAGGTTGGGACATAGTAAGGCAAGGAACTTGGGGCCTGGGATAACAAACTGTTGTTGTCTGAGGTCAAATAGCTAGTTACTGGCAGACTTGCAACTAGCGTGCAGGTCTTCCAACCCAAAGCTCAGGGCTCCTTCCCCCACTTTGCCTTGCCTTACATCATGGAATGGCTGCCTGAAAGGACCCTTCTCCCAGGAATCTGTCTTTGGCTTGAATAATTAACTCAAAGGACTTGGTGCAGACCCACTGGATGATAAGCATTTACAAAGCAGGGATCATGCCTCCCTCATCTTTGTGTCTTCAACAGCTAGCCTGAGTCCAGTACACTGTAGGTACTCAGTCAATACCTTTCATCAAATTGCCACAACTCGTTTCACAGATGGCAAATTGTGGAGGCCTAGAGGCCTGCTCCAAGGTTCATTGTGGAAATGGCTGGAGCACCAGGCTCTAAGCCACGCTGTGTACACACTTGCACCTGGGCATCCTCTCCCTCCCTAGAAATTCAGCTCCCTAATCAAGGCAACCAGACCCACCCTGGGGCCTTGACACTGGGCCCAATATTTCTGTCCATACAATGGCCCCAGATATTTTGTGCATCTGGTCAACCAGGTTCCTTTTCTTATCAACACTTCTGCTAAGTGCCTGTTCTCCCTGAGCCTTTCCTAAAAGAAACTGGGTTAGGGTGTACATTTTCTTCTGTTGAATTTTTGCATAAAGTAGTTTTCTTGGACTTGCACTGCTGAGTCCTGGGCCAAGGGGAGCACCCCACTTTGTTGTGGTTTCGGCAGAGGTGGTGCCTCTGTGACGTCACCTGCTTGACTGCCCCAAGCCATGTGCAGGAGAAAGCTCCATGGCAGGGTGGGTGACGTGCCAGGGAACTCTGAGTACAGCATCCCTGGGCTCCGGTGTAGTCCCAGCAGGATAACAGGAGTCCCCAGCTCACCCATAACGAGCAGACTTTTCTCCTAAGACTGCACTTTGTCACACCATTCACTGTGTTACAATCTGCCAGCGACATCCCCCACCCTTCTCATTGTCTTTAATCACATAATCTGTAAACTAGCAGAGATGATTTGGAAATTAAGTCACTTAACTCTCCTCCCCCACTACTTCACACCCTGTGAAACGCTCCAGAGAGATACACTGGGGGATGCAAATCCTCTACCACTCCCTTTATCAACTGTTCAGGTGGTGCCTTCCTTATTGGGTTTAAAGAGAATTTTCAGAGCAGACACACTCGTTTCTGCAAGTGTAAGCACCAAGAACAACAGTCAAGGTGATTTGTAAATTATGAGTCCCTAGTACTATTTTTAAAGCACACTCTTGCTAATGGATTATGCACCATTTTGTTTTTCCTGTACTGCTTGCTCTCTGCTCTTCATAGTGTAGTCTACAAAATACTCTGGATTCTTAATTTAAAGACAGCCTATTTTACACTCTCGTTACACCTGCCTAAATTCTTCTGGCAAATTCACCTGTCACTCTAATAAAATAGTAAGATCCGAGGGTGCAGTAGCATCTTAAGTGCTTTTAATATTCTGCAATGCTAGCTTAGAGCTTTGGACAATAGTAGGTATTTAATAAGTGAGTTTAATTGAACCTGACTTTTGTATGAGTTCTTAAAAATTGGACCATGGGCTTGACAGTGTAGAGAGACTGCTGACAACTCCCCACACCCCCTAAAAACCACTCAAAAAACCCTTCTATGGGAGTGGTCTGCAGGAGACTCGCAATGTCAGGCCAGGAGAAAGTGCCCTTCTCCCCAAAGTGGACCTCTGGCTGCGGGCTTGCTCCATCGCCCCATCCAAGAGAGGCACAACACACTCCTTTCCTGCTGCAGCCCCGGTGAGCCGGGCACTCTGTCCCTCTTGCCTCAGGACTCGAGGCTTGGTGGTTCAGGAAGCAATGATGATGGAGGAAAGATGACGATGGGAAACAGCTGGGTGGCCCTCCCCACGGCACCCCCCAACATGCACATACGCAAGCAGAGAGGGGGGCATCCGGGGATGTAGGTCATCCACAGGAGGGGGCGTGCCTTACCTGTCCGAGAAGGGCTCGGAAAGCAGGTGGGAGACAAATGAGAAAGACACGTTTTACGCAGAGACCAGTCACTTTGAGAGTGTCACCTCTTGCCTGGGCCACCGACACACCGAGGGGACACTATGCCAAGACCGAGGCCCTGCTACCAGCGCAGAGCCACCCTAGAAAGGCCAGATCCCCATCAACCGCTCAATAACTAAACCCAAGCAGCGTTGGACTTTGAAAACTCAAAAGAGGCCCCGGGAGATTCAGCCTCCTGTGCTGCCTGCCAGCCCAGTCTTGTGAGCCCTCTCTGCGTTCAGTATCTCTGAAGTCGGCAGGGGGAGAAACGTGGAAGAGCGAGGCAGCAGAGTGGGATTCTGCATCCCGGAGTCCTGTGTGTATCACACCTGTGTAAATCACTGGGCTGTACTGACAAGATGTCAACGATGTGGAAACCCATGAGGCTGAGAGGCTTGCTCAGTGACATCACACTGGCAGAGTTAGGTGGTGGTGGGGGGAGTCAGAAGTATGCTGATTCCCACGCTCATCATCTTTCTCTACACCACAAGGGTCCAAATGAAACTGCCAACACCCATCATGTCACCAAAGGGCGCGGCTTTAAGTAACACCCCAACGCAGTCTAAAGCTCCAAATCAGACTCTGGGGCAGGAACAGGACTAGGAAGTCTCCCACTGTCTGCCGAATAGGAAAGCACCATGAATGAGAGAACTCTGGGCTGCTCGGGCAGAAGCTGAAGCACCGCACTCACACACGCGCCACACCACTGCAAGAGGAGCCTGTGGCTGTATCTGTTGCAGCCAGCACAAGATACCCACCACGGAGACCTGACATACCATCGTGTATCTGGGTGGCCAGTTGTGACAGACTGGAATGGGACACTGCCAGTCAAGTTCAAAGTGCCCACCTCCTCACTGACCCTCATTGCACATCACACCTGGGGGTTAGCCTTGCTTTCTGTAGAGAGGGACTTGGCACCTTGGAGTCAACAGTCTTTAGCAGCAATCTTTCTACAAGCCAAATGGTCTAGAGGAAGCCACCAACTCTGGTTTAGTCCCTTGCTGAAAAGAAACCAAGCCGTAGAAAACAAAATCTGGTCCCTACTCATAGGAAATACACATTGAAGTATTTCGGCATGAAAAAAGACATAGTGTTTGGGGGCCAGGGCTATGGCATAGCAGGTAAAGCTGCCGCCTGCAGTACCGATATCCCATATGGTGCCAGTTCGAGTCTTGGCTGCTCGACTTCTGATCCAGCTCTCTGTGATAGCCTGGGAAAGCAGTGGAAGATGGCCCAAGTGCTTGGGCCCCTGTGCCCACATGGGAGACTTGGAAGAAGCTCCTATCTCTTGGCTTCAGATTGGCCCAGCTCCGGCCATTGCGGCCATCTGGGGAGTAAACCAGCAGATGGAAGACCTCTCTCTGCCTCTGGTTCTATAACTCTGCCTTTCAGATAAATAAATAAATCTTTAAAAAAAAAAAAAAAGAGCCAATGTCATGGCAATAGCTAAAAAAAAAAAAAGACAATGTCTAATCAATCCAACAAAACACTCAAGAACACACACATGTGGACACACACACACACACACACACCAGGCAGAGAGTAGGTAAGAAGGAGAATTGATCAAGCAATTGAGGTAAAATGTTAGCAAGAAGACAATCTGGGTGCAGAGTATATGGATGCTCTTTGTATTGATTTATTTTTGCACTATGAATTTGAAAGTATTTCCAAAGGAAATGTACCCTAAACCAAAAAGCTGAAACTAAAACAAAAAATATTCAGTAGCAGAGGCTGGGCAGGTAGAGGAGAAAAAAGGGAAAAAGGTCACTCAGAAAGGACAGGGGTTCCCAGGGCTGGACGTGGGGGCTGCACAGAAAAGTGGTAACAATTTAGAAGGGAGCTGGGGGACAAACAGCCAGCATCACCATCCTATTCCTACTGTCTCCTTCCCTCTCTGGGTGTTCTCAGGTCAGGCCACTGAGGGATGACAAGCCAACAAGGCTGCTATGTTAATCTTGCACCAACAATCCATCGCGCACAGGGCAGACCCCACTGATGAGCGGAGTCATGGGACTTTGTGATGTCAACTGCATTCGGAATGTTTGATTGTCCCGACAACCCGGCCAGGCCCTAGGGAGCAGGTGTGTGATCTCCAGACCCTGCAGTGGTCAGAAATGGAGAACTTCTCACTTCTCAGCATCTCTGG